ATTGATACATTACAAGAATATCAAAACGGCATGCCACGTCATATAACTAATCAACTTGATCATGAAAAAATTGCTGATATTTTTTGGCATATCAATGAAGAAAGGTTCCCCGACAAAAGCGAATTGACGAAAATATCAGCGCAAATCAATCAATATTTTGCATGCATTCCACTTTCAGGTGTAACTTCTAAATCCAAAATTTCTTTAAATTCAAATGCAGAATACAAGTTCACCTCCTATAACAGTCTCACAAAAGATAGTCTCACGCTGCGCCCAAAATCAATCAATGATATCCAAGATATATATTTTGTTCCAATTCACTTTTTTACCTTTCTCATAATTATTATTTGTTTTGTAGCTTTGCCTGAGTCAGCTGAGAAAATCTATAACAATGAAACACTTCCTTACGATGAAAACATTACTGATAAAATTCTGAGTGTTGCAAAAGTTACAACAGATAAATCAGAATGCGTTATTTATATTGTTATTGATGGTGTTACTTTATTTATCGAACTTCTTGTTTATTTTGTACAAATATATATTTATTATTACGTGATTCCAAAGCTAGTTGAGGAATTTAATGATTCAGATCCTATTTCAAATGAATTCATTGAAGACTTGGCAAGAACATATAGAATTTGTCCTTGGCCACATCTTGAAAGAATTAAACTAACTTATTCGATTTGTATTGGTCATAATGTTCACAATGAAATTCTAATGGAGCAACTTTCCTATAGCCAAATCGCTAATGGAGAACTGATAATTGGGAATAATTCGTCAGATATTAGCATTAAACCATCTACAATAATGAGCCAACTGACTCAAATCAATAATCATTTATCAACTTCTTTGAATGATATATCAAATCTTATTCTTAAAAACCAGAGCCGATATCAAGGAATTCTTCAATCTATTGCTAATGAAAACGCTGTATTCAATCAAATAATGTTAAACTTTACGAATTTAATGTTTACAAATACTAACTTGTATAATGTTCATAGAACAATCTATGACTACAACTTACGTTTGCAGGACCAATTTCAATACCTTCAAAGATTTAATCAACCCGTCAGAAAATATTTCCCATATATTTGTTTTCTAATCCAGAAATTACAAACATTAACAGAAATAGTTACATCTTATTATAATGATTACTTGAATTATACTCAACAAATTTATTTTTACAAAATGAAGGTGATCTTACTGTAGATATTATAGGATTTATTCCAATAAAAGGCTGGCAAATAACATTGCTTTCGCAGGCGCTTAATGATTTTATTCATGGAAATAGACGATTTACAATTGAAGATCTGAAAAAATTAAGAAATGACCTCAATATATTAGAAAGAGAACTCACTAATTTTAACAAGATGTACTTGAAGAGATTGGATCATTTGAGTTCACTTGAGAAATTTAATAGGGTTAATTTGATACCTCTTGGAGAATACATCGTCCATTTTTTTTCAAATCTCATGATTGAATTTGCACAGTTTCTGCAATCGCCATCTTTTCCGATTACACTCACTTGATTTGCCTAGGCCTGTAATACCAATGGCACCTCGTTATAATCAAACCCAAGCTGCTATAAGACGAATGACAACTATTTTGAATGATTGCCAGCAAGCGATATTCCCAGAAATTTCTGAATTAATCAAGGAAAATATTGGTTTATTTAATCAAATCAAATATTTCCAAACCAATTTTGAAAATCAACTAATTCTATGCAAAAAACAATTCCAGGAAATATTTTCCATATTAAATTCGACAGGGATCAATAAACAAATCTTAGTTGCTTTCAATAATACCGAATCTTTCATCAATTCTATTCCGCCAGCCAATTATCTTTTTACAGGCAATGTATTCGATTGTGGCGTAAACTATCGACTAATCGATTATGAGCTTACAATGAAAATCAAGCAGCTTCAAGAGCTAGAAAATCAACTTACAGAAAAAATCGGATCGCTCATGTTTGCCACTCAATTAAATCAGGACCTCGTTAATTTTACAAATTCAATAGTTTTTCCTAATCATGTCACTGATTTTAGGTTGATGATTAATGAATTAATACTTAAAAAAGCATTTCTTCAAAATCATTTCCTTAGTGAGCCAAATTACAAAACATACATTGATATATCGAATCAGCGCCATATATCTATCCAAAAACTCAAAACTAAAGTTAGTTCATTATTTCCTTATCCTCAGCCTCCTGTTAATGTTGACACAGAATACTATGCTTCATTAAATTTGGATAACTTTATTTCCCGAACTAAAGTGATGATTCGTGTTTTTGATCGAAATTTTGATCATCTAATTCATTGATTGATGAAATTATTCTTTTGTTTGTTAAAACAATAAATGTACTCTGTTTCTTTTCTGCAGTTGTATATCCTATTTTCTAACGCATATTTTGCAATCTTTAGTAGGAGATTCAAGTGTTTCTTTTATAGATGTTCCAAAATTGCCGTTTCTCCTTGGAAAAGCACTGTCCAAAATCTTTCATCAATGAGGAGAAAGACGGTGTTTCCACACCTTCCTCATTAAGATGATTTATTTTATCGTTAAGTTAAATGATATATATATATTTTAATACTAATCACTTCAAATTGTTCTGGGTATTAAAAAAAATAATAAAAAATGGACATCTGATGGGTATTTTTTTATCATAGAATTTTTGTTTAGTTTACATTATTTTTAAAAAGGTCTAGAATTTGAAATGAGAATTCGTTTTCTAATATTTAATTATATTGAAATATAAGGTGAGGTTCAAGCATAAGAAAAAGTGACATCGCCTACAGCGATGTCACTTTTTCGAAAATTTCTCATTTGGACACTTTAACTCTTATATCTGAATAATCAAATGTGTTTAACAAAAAACTGACATTTCTCTTGTTGAAAACATGATTTCAATTTATAGTTTCAATCAATTAAAACAATAGAAGATAAGAATAGAATACTACAAGATAGTATTCTTCAGATAAATATAAAAAATTTTTATAATAAAAATACATAGAAATATAAATAATAAAAACAAAAACAATAATAATTATCTGTTGTTATTTGATTTCTGAAGAAGAGGTAATTCAGATGATTCTTTCTTAGTTTCTTTAACAAATGCAGAACCATCATCACCATAGACGAAATCTCCACTTCCGCCGAAGTTAGAAACAGGAAGTTTGCCTTGTTTTGTAGATGATTTTTCGACCATCGCTGCTGTCTGTGACAAAACTTCGGCAACTGTCTGAACGTCCTTTTGAGTGGCGAATTTATCCATAGACGATGCAAGCTCTTTCACTCGTTCATTCAATCCGTTGATGATAACTCTGAACTTGTTAAATACTTTCTCAACAAAATCGCGATCAACTTTTCTTTCAACAGCTGACATAAGTTCATTTTTGTTTTTGATGAAAAGTTCCATTTGTCCTTTCAACTGTTCCGATGTTTCCTTTTCAATTACATGGACAACTGTCTGCTCTGGCTGCGATTTAGACGTATTCCCAACATACAAAATATTACCTGAAACTTGTGTTGAAATGTTATCATTTTCACTTTCACTTTTAACTGATTTTTTGTCATCGTTTTTCACTGATTTCTTGTCATCAATATCAAGCTTTGGAGGTGGAGAGTTATAGTTAGGCTGTCGAGAAATTATATGCATCAATCCAGAGATCTTTTTAGTCTTGAAGAACGTTGTTGACTGTTTCTTCTTTATGCCAATGTCATCTTCTGAAATTTCGCCACTGATCATGTCTTCGTTTTCGCTGTCTTCTCTGTATCTTCCTCTTCTTCCAAGTCTCATTCTTTCAAGTGTTGATGTGCCTGATCCTGTTGGAAGAGAGCTAGATCTATCAGATTCATCTGGTGATTCATCGTCACCACCAACACGTGCAAATGTGAAGCTTGGATTATTGAAGAAACTGGGGACACATGTTGCCAAATTAAGTGGAGGAAGATGTTCTAAACCACTCGCGTTTGTTCTGATCAATTTGAATTCATCGATGATTGCGAGTACGACATCTCTAACATCTTTCTCATTCCTGTTGACGGCGTTCTTGATTCGAAGGATATCTTGAAGAGCAGCATCGATTTGGCCGCCAAGATGGTCAACTGTTTTTTCTAGTTTTTGATGTTCTTTTGCACGAATGTCGTTGTCTAACGGAATCAACATTCCTGCACGTGTTGCTGCTGTTTGATGTGCCATGATGCTTGAAAGCATTGGACGGTTCGGAGATTCAGGATTTGATGGATTTTGCTGCAAATTATCAATTAATTGCTGCAAAACATCGACTCTTCTTGATAAAAGTGATTGTTCTGTCATTGCATTGACGAGAGCAGCTCTGTTTTGAGATGTAACTGCCCAAACTTCGTTGAGTTTTGGTGCATTATCTGATGTTGTGTGCATGAGCGCAATATCAAGAGCTTTTTGTAGAGAAGCGAGTCTGTTGTTAAGTAAATCGGCCATTGTTGTGTGTACTTGGTTGATTTGCTCTGTTGTACGTGCTTGAATTTGCTCAATTAAGTCATTATCTCCGGCATCGCCTGTAATTATCTCTCAAATTTTGGCCATTTTTCGCAGTTTGATCGGACAAAACCTCGCATTTCGACGCGAGATCGACACCAAAAATTCGGCAAAAATTATTAAAGGAGGTCTATCGTCGCAGATCACAAACTTAGTTTTAATGCAAGATTGCATACGAAAAATTTCGAACAAAAATTCATAAACACGGAAATGTAAATCAGAGCAAAAAAAAAAAAAAAAAAAAAAAAAAAGGTAGTGGGGCTTCCAGGCACTTCGTGCCTTCTAGCCCTGATGTTGATGTTTAGTATAAATGAAGTTTTTATTCGGAGGACTCTTCTTCTTCCTCCATTGCTTCTGGGAAGAAGCCTTCTTCTGGGTCGAAAACATTATATAATGTGTCGCTTTTCACAAATTATATATGTTTTCATGTTTTGTCACTTTTCTGTCACTTTTCAGGGAAAAACATTTTTATTATTATATATAAATGAATTTTACAAAACCACCGTTACCGTTCTTTGGAAATAAGAGTAAATGTAAAGATATTCTATTGAGAGAACTTAAGAAACTACCGAATGGTCTAACATTTGTAGATTTGTTCGGTGGAAGTTTCTATATATCCCATTTATGTCATACCGTATTTCCTGACTCAAAGATTATATGCAATGACTTCGACAACTATATGAACCGTCTCAAACATATTCCAGACACAAACAATATATTGAAAGAGTTAAAAGAAAAGATACCTATAGGTAAGATGGAACGTATACCATTAGATAAGAAAAATATTGTGAGAGAGATTTTGAAAAAAGCAGAATATATAGACTGGGATAGTATATCTGCTAGACTATTATATAGTGGTGCTATAAGAGTTCATGACATTGAAACACTTATGTCAAAAGTTTTATATCTTAACTATACAAATGTTTTCAAAGAGGACATAGAAAAATATATTGAGGGTATAGAGTTTGTGAGATGTCATTGGACAGATTTGTATGAAAAATATAAAGACAAGGAAAATGTTTTCTTTATAGTGGACCCGCCGTTCTATAACACATGGGATTTTCAATACCAAGTAGACTGGACTTTGAGAGACTCTTTAGAAACTTTAGACGTTTTACATAACCATCCATGCTTTTACTTTACATCCGATAAAAGTGGTTTGGAAAGTGTCATGAGATGGTTAGAGGACATACATGACTATGAGTTTAGATACGATAAGATAGAATATGAGAGAGGTCCTATAAACTGGAGAAAGTGTCATAACAAAGAAATTTTACTAGTAAGTAAATGTGGTTTGAAATAGGACTACTTGTTTTAGGTTTTTTCCATTGTGTCATTTACTTATTTGACGTGGCAGAAAGATATAGAGAATATGAAGATGAACCAATGCCTGCAAATGTTCAGTATATGTACTCGTAAGAGATATTTTTATCTAATATTAAATGGACGCACAGAACTTAGCGAATGCACAGCAACCTGGACAACCAAACCCAGAGAATATTCCAAATGAAGTTAGAATACAAACTGCAATGGCAAACTATGGTCAAGTGCCAACAGATGTACAAATGCAAACTGCCATGTCAAATGACGCTGCGTTAGGTTTGCCACCATGGTATGCAAATATGAGATGGAAAGAGTTTTATACAAACCCTGAAGTGGGATATAAACAACTTTATGCAGATGACGCGAACACAGGAGTTGACCCAGAATATGTTTTCTACCAGAGGAGAAACAGAATGTATGAGCTCCAGTTAAAGAATGCTATGGAACTCAACAGGAAACGTAAGAGACTAGGCGGACATTAGATTTTTACATATAGTAAAATGGGTTTCTTCAGTAGTATTGGAAACTTCTTTCGAAATGTTGGAAGAGGTATATGGAATGGAATAAAAACCGTAGGAAGAGGAATTTGGAACGGAGTCAAAAATATTGGTAAAAGGGTAGGTCAGTTTGTTGGTATTATACCTAAAGACCCTGAACCAGAAGAACAAGCTCCTGTTATACAACAGCCTGAACCTGCACCACAGTCTAGTTGGCAACCAAATCCAACACCTCAACCGTATTAAAAAATTATATTTTTACCGTTCGATAGTAGTTGTATATGAAACTAAGTTCTAAGTAAAACGCATGGTATAATGGAATTATTCTCTTTCTTCCATCTGTAGTAAACCATACTTGAAAGTCTGAAATACTTCCACTTGGTGGTTCATATAGCTTTGTAGGTTTTTCGTAAAAGTCATTTGCCAAGCATAAGAAAGAGTTTTGAGCGCCAGAAAATGAAGCATGAACAATAATAGCAGCTGGGTCGAAAACATCTTTAAATAAATATGGTTCATCTCTTGCATATCGACTGTAAATATTTGCTAAAGGAAGTTCGACTTTCTGATTTAACATTCTTTGCAAATAATACCATGACATTGCAGTGAATTCTGTATATATTTGTTCGTCTTTCTTTGGATTGTCTTCGTAGATTTGAAATGACACTTGTGAATTTTGTTTGTCATATACAATTCTCACATAAAGTGTGCTCTCGGTATTTGCATATTCATCAGCATATTTTGCATAACATGAATTTATTTTATCTTCTATATTTTTTAACGCAGTCTGTAGAGAAGATGAAAGGTCAACTTGTATTAGCTCAATTTCTTCCCACATTTTTCGTTTCCCTTCAGATATATAATCTATATGAAACCTTACAATAAATGGAAAACTTTTATCTTCTACAGACACAAACTTCATTCTACGAAAGCCAATAGCTTTTGTGACAGATGGGTCTCTTAACCATCTTAACGGGTAGTCAAAACGATAGCCTTCATGCTTTACGGTCTCTGTCTCAAACTTTTGACCGACATTAGTAAAAAGTTCATCTAATGGTTTAGTTGTAGCAACTCTTGATTTTTTTTTTTCTATTGGAAGCATATTTTATCTAGAATAAAAATGTCAAATGAAACAGCGTCTATGAGAGAAATACAACACAACCGACAACTCATTATGCAAGCTCTAAATAAGAACACAACAAACTTTTCAAACTATTCTAAGATATCTGAGTCATTGAAAGAAGGAAACTTAAAACTGACATTAAACCCAATGACAGATGAGTTTCTGTTTCAAGACAATAAGAACCATACTGTCTGTATAAATCCAACAAAAGGAACTTTAAACGAGAAACCTATAAATGAACTTCTTTTGAAAGCAGATATTGACAACAAAGCTGACAAAGAATATGTAGATGCAACAAGAGACTATATTCTCGCATGGACAGATAGAACATACCCACAAAAACATCATACACATAACATCTATGACGTAGATGAACTACCAGCAATGTTAGATGACAAAGCAGATAAAACATATGTTGACAATAAAATGTCAAGTGAAGTGACAAGAGCTGACAAAGAATATTCTAAAAAGACTCATACACATACCATATCTGATATTACAAACTTACAAGAAACCTTAAACAGGAAAAGTGACGTTGGACATACACACGATTTCTTCGCAACTGTTGGTATAGAAAATATTGAAGGAACGGTTGAAGAAACTGGTGGGATGTATTAAATTGGAAACCTCCTAACTTTCCACAAGGTTTAACATCGGAAGAAGACATAACAACGATGAGATACATTAGATGTAGAAATGTCTATGTCATGGAGGATGAAAACAAAGTTAAATTCACTGCTCAAGATTTATATGATAAAAAAGCTGACAAAACATATGTTAACGATGAGTTAGATAAAAAAGCTGACAAAACAGAGCTTCAAACGTTAAAGACAGAAATACTTCAAACAGTATATCCTATAGGCTCTATTTATACGTCAATGAACTCTACCAGACCAGAAACAGTGTTCTGGGTTTTGGAACTTGGACTCAAATAGTCGACAGGTTTTTGTATTGTGCAAACTCTTCAAAGGAAACAGGTGGAAGTAAAACGATTTCAGGTGAAAATTTACCTGCACACAGTCACTACGTAGATTTAAGTACATCTCAAGCAGGTTGGCATAAGCATAAATTTTGGGATTGGCACGCCTTGAAAAAAGGTAAAGGATATGATGTTAAAGACGACGTTCAGTTTGCTATAAATTGTTACTGGAGTGACACTCAGGGAGATGGAAACCATACACATCGCGTTACAGGATATACACAAACAACGGGACAAAGTAAAGACTACATGCCACCTTACATGACAGTTTACGCATGGTATAGAATTGCTTAGTCGTCATTTTCAACTTCTTTAGCATATTCGTCTGGAGTTGTCTTATATTTGTTAGGAACTGTCTTTGAAAGTATACCACCTTGAACTTTGACAAGTTTGAAACGAGGTCTGACAATAGTAGTTTTATCTTCTGCTTGCAGTCTGTACATTTTGCCATGTTTGCCTAAAACTTCATAATATTCTCTTGTATACTTTCTTCTATTTTTACGAACACGAATGCGAGTACCTGTCGAGTTCCCATTGTTGTCATAGTCAATAGTATTTTCATATGGGTCGCGTTTAGGTATTTCTATTTTTACTTTGTCACCTTTCTTAAGTTTGAAGCCTGGCATTCTTTCTTGTTTGTCTCTTTTGACTAAACTATTAAATATATAGTCTTTCTCTAAGTCGGGGTTGTTTTTCATTTCTTCGGGGGAGTGGTTTCCCAAACCTTTTTGTTTACGGGTATTGTAAATATTTAAAACTTGTCTCATCTTTGCCATGGAGAAATGTCTATATTTCATCATATGACATTTCATTTGCTTCACCACCTTGTGGTTGGTTTAAGTCTCTTAAGATTTTTATACAACTGTCAATGACACCAAGAGCAGAATGGTTTTGGTCGACAATGAAATATTGGTTTACATTTTTTGAACGCAGATAGTTTTTAATATCGTCTGATTTGAAAGAACTTTCACAGTCAGATGTCAGTTTAGTTGGATGGTATTTGTCAACGAATATTGTCAAAGCAGTTTTCACATCTAAAATATTTTTGGACTGTAATGGTATGGCTTCACAGTATCTTGTGTTTTGACCGACAAATATTAGCCAGTATGGAGGTCCATCTTCTCTATACCTCGGAATGTTTTCCAAGATATCCATAAACCAAGCATTTGGTGTTGAACTAAAGATTTTTATCATGAGTGCTTTCTTTGTCGCTTTAGAAACATAGGGGTCCTTGTTTGGATTCGTCATTTTTTAACCCATAAGAAATGGGTTTATTTGGCGCATTAGCAGGAGTTGCATCCAGATTTTTGCCCGCAGTGGGAACAATAGCCAGAGGTGCATTTGGAATTGGAAGGAAGATTTTGAGTACATTAGGTATACTTAAAGAGAAAGCACAACCTATTATACAAACTGTACAGAAAGGTTGGGAGGTAGCACGAGATGCAGCAAATCTTATTCCAAATCCTGAAACAAGAGGAAAAGTTCAAGGATGGATGGACAATGTAGGAAGAGAAGCAGGAAACTACTATAACAAAGCAAATGACTACTATAACCAAGCAGGGCACTACATGGACCAAGGTGAAAGATTCTTTAACAGAGGATATAACCATGCACAACAGTGGGTAAACAATAACCAACCGCCGCAACCACCTCAAACTTGGGGAATGTAAAATTTTTTACTGGAGATGAAATGAACAATACAGCATTGAGACAAATGGGTTCAAGATGGATTTGTCGACTTCCAGCAGTTACACAACCACGGTGTTTGTCAAGTTCTTCCTATACCTCAGGAAGTTTTAGACCGACTTAAAAAACTAAACAACCAGTTGAAAACAAACCAAACTAAAATTTTTTACTGAGATGAAATGACCGAAGAAGTTGAAACGGTAGATTTGACACCACAAACAAAAAGTTCAGAACCATTGTCAAAACCTGTCAAAGAACTTACAGATGAAGAGAAAAATTCAATAATAGAAAGTGCCAGGTCTGGAAATACAAACCCTAACTACAAAGTCACTTTTCATAGAAATGGAACGGCAAGTATCTCAAAAAGAACAGACTCTCACAAATAAAATATTGAAGTCTGAAGGAGCTTTCGAGACAACAGATGGGAAGGTATTCTTCACTGACCAACAGTTCATTATAGAACATCTCATT